CGTCATCAGGCCCCGCCCCGCGGGCCTCGCCGGAGCGCCGCGCGCCCCCAAGGCGTCCGCATTTCGGTTACCCCGAGGCCAGCAGGCGATGGGCACGCGCGTCTTCTCGCGGTGGCCGAGCTCTAGTGGTCCCAACCGCGCCCCTCTCCTGCCTGCGGGTCTGGGGGCGCATCCTCGGGCCTCGCACGCGCGGACCATGGTCTGGGAGCCGGTGAACCCACTCCCCGCCCCCGCGCACACAGCGCGCGCCCCGCGGTCCTTCAACGGTCCCCAGGAGGACCTGCTCCGGCCGCTTTCCTGACTTGTCACCTCTCCTCTGGTGTCGCTCCTGCCCTGCCGCTCTGGAAGCCCTGCGTTGTGCGCAGAGGAAGTTCTCTGACCAGATAAGATTTCATCTCCGGGGAGGACCCCTGGCCCCTTCATGGTCAAGTCCGAGCGTCCTGCAGATCCACTGACCAAGACTCCGAAGGGAACGTCTGAGTCTAAACTCCTAGATCTCAAGGAACACCCTGGCCAGAGAGTCCACTCCAACCACAGGGTCGACTCAGACCACAGAGGTCACTTAGACTCAGCCATCAACTAGGACTACTTAGAGCAGAACCTCCACTCAGGCCATGGAGTCTCTCAGACCATACAGTCCAGTAAGGCCTTGGGGTCCTCTCAGACCACAGGGTCCGCTCAGACCACAGAAGCCACTCAGACAACAGAGGCCACTCAGACTCCGCATCAACTAGGACTACTCAGACTGGAGCATCCACTCAGGTGCAGAGTCCACTTGGGCCATGGGGTCCACTAAGACCTAGGGTCCACTTAGACTATGGGGCCCACTCAGCTCACAGAGTCCATTCCGGCCACAGGGTTCACTTAGACCATATGGTCCACTCAGACCATACAGTCCACTTGGGCTTCTGTGTCCACTCAGACTACAGGGTCCAGTCAGACCGCAGAGGCCACTTAGACAACAGAGGCCACTCAGCTCCGCCATCAACTAGGACTACTCAGACTGGAGCATCCACTCAGGTGCAGAGTCCACTCGGGCCATGGGGTCCACTCAGACCATGCGGTCCACCCAGACCATGGGGTCCACTAAGCCCTAGGGTCCACTTAGACTATGGGGCGCACTCAGCCCACAGAGTCCATTCTAGCCACGGGGTCCACTCAGACCATATGGTCCACTCAGACTATGGGGTCCACTAAGCCCTAGGGTCCACTTAGACTATGGGGCCCACTCAGCTCACAGGGTCCATTCCAGCCACGGGGTCCACTCAGACCATACGGTCCACTCAGAACTTAGGATTCACTCAGACCACAGGGTCCACTTAAGCCAGGGAGTCAATTAAGACAGAAACGTCTACTTTGACCTCAGGCTCCAGTCAAGCTGTACAGGATAGACCACAGTGTCCACTCTGGTATGGAGTTTGTCCATACGACAGGGCTCACACAGTCTCTGGAACCCTCTCAGACCTTCAAGTCCACTCACACCTCAAGGTCCACTCTTGACTTCAGGGGCCCTTGGTGGAGAAAAAAAGAAGGAGGACAGAAAGCCAATGCCGGTGATTCCGCCTCTCCAGAGCTCCAGGGTTGTGAGTACGGCCTGGCTCATGGGATGGGGCCAATGCTGACTTCAAAGCTTGGGCTGGACTCAGGCAAGTGACCATAGCCCCTTGAACCTCCGTTTTCCCATCTGTAAAATGCAACTAACAGTGTGGACGCATCTTCTGTAGAGAACCATGAGTGGAACAATTGAGGAGCTACAAAGGACCTTCTTGCTGTTGACTTGGGCGTTCTGGGAGGGTTTTGGGCTGGCGTCAAGCCTTCTGCTGACTCCATGGGCCGTTAGCTGCTGGCGCTTGTGATCTCAGACACAGAGCAACCAACATCCAAGGCTCTTCTAAGATTGTTTGAAGAGGAAGGTAAAGAAAACCCCTTTCGATTACACAGGAGGCCGCTTCCAGCCCAGATGAGAGGACGGGGGCCCTGCAGTGGTGGAGGGCCAGGCTGGGAGAGTGGAGGACGGCACATCCCCAGAGCTGTTTCTCAGGAAGAGACAGTGGGTTCGTTGGAGTCTTCTCTGAAGTAGATGCTGAGACTCTCTTTCTACAACAGGACACGTCACATGAGAGACATGGGCAGGGAGCAGGGGTGGCCTGGGACAGCTGTCAGAGAGGAATGCAGTCCTGACCCCCCAGCAGGGGCGAGGGGGAGATTAGGCTCTCGTGGCTGGCGCTTCCTTGAAGACAAAGCGAGCCTAGAGCAGCCACATATGAAGCCCTGTAGCCAATGCTGGTCGTCGTTGGAGCTCCCAGAAAGAGCCAGCCAAGGAGCCCCTGCAGCTGTCAGTGGTTGACCAGGAGCAGCCGTAGGGAGTGCAGCTTCAGCTGTGGCCGTGACGAGCTCAATGGAGCCTGGGGCCCGCCGGGCTGGACCCCACAGATGGCAGAAGTCGGGGGGGCCTGGAGGCCTCCTCATACTCCTCGTGGACATGGGGCACCTCACCCCTGCGAGCAGTGCCATGTTCTTCAGAGGCACAACTGATACAACACGGATCAGAGGTGGCCTCAGTCACATGGGTGCCTGTTAGTCCGGAGGCACGTCCTCATGGTCACCCCACGTGGAGCCTTGAGGGGAAAGCAGGCAGACCAGGTTCCAGTGCACTGGGAACCCGGATGTATCACTGTTGGGGGAACTGAAAGGCTGACCCCACCCCACCCTGAGCCACAGACCTCTCCCATCTCCCTCAATGTTGTCCAGTGACCAGTCCCACCAATGAGCTTGATGTGGGAAGCTGCAGAGAGGAAGGGCTGTGATGCATCACCCTCTGAAGGAACTGATTCTGCTGACAAGTTCTTGGGCCCTTTGCCCTCCTTCACTCTGGCCAGGTGGGCACATGTCCTCTTGAAGCCAAGGGACCCTCCATGACCACAAATTGACAAGGAGGGTGATGAAAGTCGGAAGCCCAAGGATGCTGGGTAGAGAGACCATGACTTCAAAGGACATCTTGGGGCCACTGGACCACTACTAGCATCTGTCCTGTAGCCCTCAATGTCTCTGTTATGTGACAAAAATAAACGCTCCTGTGTCTGAAGCACTCTGATTGGGTTTTGTTTGCAGAAGGCATGCCAAGCTCCTAAAGAGCACAAAAAACATCATGCAAACACTGCATGAATCACTGGGGGTGCTCTGGTGGCGTCGTTCATTACACACTGAACCTCTAACCACAGGGTTGAGAGTTCAAGGTTACCAGTTGCTCCTCTGGCAAAAGATGAGCAATATTCCATAAAGATTTGTTGTTAGGTGCTGTTGAGTCAAGTTCAACCCTTATTGACTCTCTCTGAACAACGGTTCTGAACCTGGTTCTACCCTGTGCCATCCTCAGCATCTCTGACTGCAATCACTATGTCAATCCACCTGGTTGGGGGGGGGGGTCTTCCTCTCTTAGTCTCAGGTTGGCACGAGCTGGAACTGACTGGAAAACTAGTAGGGGGTGGGGTGGGGCTTTTCTTGAATCAGAGGTTGCTTTCCAAATAGAAGACTCAGTTCAGCGAGAAGGAAGTGCCTTCCCAGGATGCTCAGTCTAGAGGGGCCGTGAGAGAGGGGTTTAAATCTGACCAAGGAATCACCAGATAGTGGGAGCGTAGAAAACACACACACTGTGGGAACAAGGACCTGGGAGGAATGAGAAGCGTTGCCCTCAAGCCCCTGGGGGGTTCCTGGTGTGGTGAGATCAGTGGAGCCTGGGGCTGGATGCCCTGGACACAGAGAATGGAGGAAGGCAGGGACCAGGACGGGCTCCTAGCTGCAAGCCACTTGTCGTGCTCCTTGTGACCACAGCACACCCTCCTCTCTTCTGAGCAGTCTCAGGTCCTTCAGAGATAGAACTGAGTCTTAACCAACACCCCTGCTGGACTGTCCACTGCCCAACTGCTGGTGCCGGACGCCGAGCTTGGAGTCCAGCCCCAGCACTGAGGGCTTGCTCCCTTTGCCCTCATGTGGATGCTGGCTTCTGAGTGGGCACAAGAGGGGCGAGGACTTGGTCCTGAGATAGCTGCAGTGAATCTCAAAGAGCAAATATCCTGACCTGGAAAAGAGAGGCTGAGAGATGTCAGAGAAGCTGGCAGGTGCCAACACAGGATTTGATGTTGGGAGGAGAGAACCAGCAGTCAGAGATGGCTCCTTTTTGGGAGGCAGGAGAGCTGGGTACATGGCGGGAGGTTTCAGGCAGGCCAAGGGGCCCAGGAGGGAGGATGGTGTGCAGTGGCCTGGACATGAGTTGGGTCAGTCACCAGGATAAGTGATGGAGGCTCAGCCCTGAGGCCCTCATAGTAGTGGCATAGCTGACAGAGCGGGGCAGGGGGTCTGCCTGTGTGGGAGTGGTGCAGAGGTCAGCTGTTAGAATACACCCACCACTCCAAGAAAGGTGGACAGTCTTCTGTAAAGACGCCCAGTCTAGGACGCCCAGTGGGGGGTGGTTATGGATGACTTGCATTTGGTGACAGTGGGTCCTCTGGGGGGAGAGATGCAGCCCAGGGCTCATCTCAGTTGTGACAGGACCTAGGAGAAGGTGTGGAGGGAGGGACTGTGGTGAGCGTGGCCCAGGAGGTGGAAGGGGAAGCAGGAGGGTGAGCCACGTGGGGACTGAGTCCATGCCCGTGTCCCATCCGAGGGAACCAGCCAGGGAGGCACCAAGGCCAGTGGTGGTAACCACCAGGGGAGATCGCCCTACAGCAAGCCCCAGAGGGGATGGGGTGGGAGACACAGGAGCTGAGGGGCAGCCATTCCCTTAGCTCGGCTGGGAGAAGAGGAAAGGAGGAAGAAAAGATTGAGACTTGAACAGCAGCATTTGAACCAAGGACAACGATTTATTATTTCAATGAACATTTACAGAGACTTTGGATTTCCATTCATTCATTGTTGCACTTTTCTCCCTCCCCCCGACCCCGACCTGATCACTCTTCTCTTTGAAAAGTAAAAGTCTTTCATTGTTATACAATCCCTACCCCCAGGTCCACTCCATTATGCAGCCTTCGTTCTGGATTCCTGTCATGGCAAAAATACCTAATCACATATGCCTTTTACACAGTTTTTTCCCCTCATCTGTTTCAATGCAGTATACATTCTTGAACCCATCTTTCTCAGTCTCCACCCCCCACCCCGCCCGCCCGCAACCTCGATGTCAGTCCTGTTTTACAACAGTGGCACCATGCTGTATTTGTCCTTTTGTGACTGAGATACTTCACTCAGCATAATGTCCTCCAGGGTCACCCATTTTGAATAATATTGCATGAGTTCCTTGTTTTTCAATGCAGCGTAGTATTCCATTGGGTGAATATACCACAGCTTCTCTATCCATTCATTTGTTGATGGGCGCTTGGGCTGTTTCCAACTCCTTGCTATCCTGAACAAAGCCGCGATAAACATGGGTG